TTACTATCAAGCTGATTCCAATACATTTTTAAACGAGGGAGAAGAAGACGGTAATCCCGTCTTCAGAAGAGAGCCGAGGACCCAGATGAGGCGATAGTTGCACCATTTTCCTCCTGTTGAGGTGATTGTCCAGGAATAGTTCCACCCAAGTTCCGGTGGTAAACAGGAGTACTACTGGGCCATGACACATGGAGTGACGTGTGTGAGCAATGGCGCAAGAGGAATCGTCGATGATGCTAGGTTTCCATGGAGAACCTTATCACAATCGTTGATAAGGGAAAATAGGTAAAACATCTACGACATACACTATGGAGGCCTTCGCGGAGACTTGTAGACCTTGAATGCGATTGTAGAGACTGAGAAGCTGGGACCAAATGAGGAAGGATAGCAATCACGTGGACACGACGCGCAATTGAATCAGCTTCAACCTTGTCAGACCTTATCAAGAGCGGCGCCTAGAGTTGTGTGTGTATCTCTGACACGGAAAAGGACATGCTCTGCTGCAATATACTTCCAGTACATCAGGAGTTTGGAATTTCAAACAGTTGGGCGTTATTTTCTGGCGCCAGTGCTCTAAAACAGCTTCTGGTCTCTTCTTGTCTTTAATCAAGGATTGCTCAAAAACGGAAATCGTTCCTTTCATCAGAAGCTTCTCTGCGGCCTAACCATATGCTTGGACCCTGCGATTTCACCACTCCGCATTTCATAATGAGGTTTCGACATGAGCTCGTCTTCTGTGCTTCTCTTTGACGTGATGATGGGTGTATAAATGTCCTTCCTCTCGGTAAAATATTCCTTTGAGGTGTCATCCTCATCTTACTCTCCTGGGGAATGGATCTCGCTCTAGACGACGAAAAAGCCTCTAATAACGCTCCTCTCTCTGATGAGGAGCTAAAAAAGGTTCAAAGGCGGATTGGTGCGTATCTGAAATCATGCCAGCCATTGCTGACCTGCTCATAGATATCCGTATTATCCCATGGTTGTGCATAACCTACCTTGTGATGCGCATCGACATCAACAATATTTCCAACGCCGCTATCATCAACATCGAACAAGGCCACGGGATCAAGACACAGCTGCACCTGAGCACTCAAGACTGGAACTGGGTCGTTTCTTGCTTCTTCTATCCCTACGCTGCCTTTGAACCAGTGTCTACTCTCCTCATGAAGCGGACGACGTGGGTGTCTTTGTCCGACGAAAATACACCGTCTGATGGTGACAGGCCGAGCTTCTGGATTGGACGGATCATGATAACCTGGGGTATCATTGTAATGTGCATCGCATCGGTGAAAAACTACGGCGGCCTCGTAACGTGTCGAGTTTGTACATGCTTTTCTTCCTTTCGCCTTGCAGGCATGTAAACTAACCCCCCCCCCAAAGTACTCGGTGCCGCCGAAGCTGGGTATTACCCTTGCGTGATATACTACCTCGCGTTCTGGTTTCGACCAGAAGAACTAGCTCTCAGAGTCGTCGCATTTTACTCTTTTGGTCAAGTCAGCGGTTTCGTAGGGGGATTCCTGGCATTTGCGATTTCATACGCGGACGGAGTTCTAGCGGGATGGAGATGGCTCTTTATCATCGGTATGTACGAATCTTCCTTTGATCAATCAGTAACGTTATCCTGCTGAGCAGAAGGTGTACCTGCGATCCTAATGGGAGTGATGACTCTTTTTATCCTCCCTGACTTCCCACAAACAGCTAAATTCCTGACTGAGCATGAACGGTCGACGATAATCGACCGATTGTCTAAAGATGCCCCAACGAAAGAGGGAAAGACTTGGGATAGAGAGGAGGTGTTGCGGCTTCTCGTGGACCCAACGTTCTGGACGTTCTCCGCGGTATGGTTCTGTCATGCAGTAGGAGGATTCGGGTTGTCGTATGTCTTGCCTACGGTTATCTACGAACTTGGTACGTAGTTTGGTATTCCACGAGCGCGAAATACCGAAGTTCGTCATAGGATTCACAACGACGGCATTGAGCAACGTCCTCTCCATGCCTCCGTCCCTGAGCGCGTTTGCATTGCTGAACACTCTAGGCTGGCTCATCCAAAAGCGTTTCTGGAACCCGTTTCGGATAGCCATAGGGTGTATGTCGTTCTCGGCTTGGGTGTCCGTAACTGACTATCGGGCCGTAGTGGAATTTACCAACATCATCTGCTGTATAATACTGCTCACCGTGAACGTGAGTCAGCCTCACCGTCCGTGTCGACTTTGTTTCTGACTGGATCTAGGTTCCTGTAGTGCGTTACTTGGCGCTGCTTGTAGCGACGGCAACCGCAGGGTCGGTGTACGCCGTGCTTTGGCCGAACCGTGTTGAAGCTACACGAGGAACGTCAGCCGCTGGGATGGCGATAGGGATAACCAATGCCATTGCGCAGTTCTCGGGTATCTTGGGGCCACAAGTCTTTTCTGGTTAATCTCATCTTTCAAAGGTATATCTCGAGTTGACGTGCGGCGATTTAGGTATATACGGACCATCTTACAAGGTCTCGTTTTCTGTTTGCGTTGGCCTTTTGGCGGGTGCTATATTGTCGATAGCAGCGTCCGCTGTGTTGTTGCACCGATTATGGGGAGATGGGAGGACTAATGTCTCATCGAAAGAGACAAAGTGAAATAAATCTGCAGTAAATATATGTATGGTTCTAGCTAATAATTCATGCCATCTTCAATGCACATCGCACCTGTGAATACTTGACCATGGTCTTGAGCCCGGGTTCAAATTGAGATCTTGAACACTGACTTCAGGCTCAAGCCCAGAACTCCCAGACAGCGGGCTCAAAACTCAGGTTGATGGCAATTTTGAGAGCTGGAGGGGCTGCAAAATACGGAGCATTGAGGCCGAGGTTGTACATAAGAGGTCCTAGGTTAGGAATATGTCACCACCGTGTGAGGGTACTGAGTTGAGAAGCAAGAGAGCAACTGTCAACAAAGCAAGATGTAGATCAGCTGTGTGTCGTCTTATAAGGATCCCCAAACTTGGAACGGCTAGTACTTGTGCATCATACTGGCCCGTACACCGTATCGATGTTTGGGGGTGACGAAATTAGCTGGCCGAGACTCGAGTACACGCACGTTACGCGTCACGGACCTCGTATCCGAGTTGAGCGTCGTGAGCAGGTATTCATACAGGTGTCCAGCCTTCATGGAAGCGATTCTGGAGACAATGTCTGTCCTGTCCATCAGGAACCCGCAAAGGTTTCCATTCAGTCTTAGCGATCGCATCGACTTCAGGATCTCGACAAAATGCTCACACTGACATCAAGTATCCTTCAAGTTGCATTCAATTGCTGTGGGTATTTCATGATCATATGCGGGAACGATGGGCCTCCGAGCCCCGCGTCGCAGCTAGAGTGGAGCAAATTCGACCAGATCCTCTCAGGCCCACTGTTCGACAGTGAGTTTGTTGTAGGCTCGTGCGCCATCTTCGAATCTTTTCCCGCTTTCCTTAGGCATATGACCCAGCGTCTTTGTTATCCTGGCGTTGCGGACCCTTTTCTTGATGTCGAATAAACAGAGAAACAGAAAGATGGTGGATGAAAGAGTCAAGGATGAGTGCGCGCAGCGATCGTGGATGATATAACGGACATTGAGAATCCTGCATTCAGATATGTGGCGGTAAGCTCATTCATTTTCCTTTTCAAAAGCTGAGGGTTGACGACAATGCTACAGTCAGAATTGACTAGGTGATTGGTGATGGACATTGATGCGCTACCTGAGCACTATCGTCTGGTTGTGCGGCAGTGTGGCCGATCGACGGACTGCAATGCTGATTCTCTGCCGGCCGTCGGGAAAAAAGATGGCTCTAACGCTCGCAAGAGTCACTCGTCAACTGATTTGAAGTGGTGAAGCTACTCTGATATGCGCGACACTCTAAACTGAAGGAAACTGGTGACTCATGGCCCAGTTCAATGTTTTGTTCTTGTCCCTAAAATTCTGCCAGAGCTCCTGCTGCTTGCCGACAGTAAATTGGTCCATCAACTTGCGTTTATGAATGGTAACAATGAAGGTAAGGAAAGTCGCGAGGTTGAAGGCGTCGACAGGGTTTGATACGTCAAATGTTCGGACGTTGTGCTCATAAATGCGACCTTCCTATTACGAACCGGTCGTCAAGAATAGTAGCATAGTATGAAAAATTGCGTTTACCTTGTCGTCCTTCATATATGCACAACAAACAGTTCCAAGTGTACCTTCTGTAATGATACTGAACACTGGGAAATTGTGAATGCCAAGTGCAGAAAGAAATTTGATACAAGCGATGAGGTCCATACGTCCTTGGTTGACCCCGTTCTGCTGCATGTTATCTAAAAACTTCTTGTACTCCTGCACGAGCAGAGGAAGTAAAAGGATGTTCGTATTAGTAGCTTTGTCATCTGGTGCATCCTCGTCGTCGTCTGTGTCAGGCTGGGGCGTGTTACCGTCACTGTTGACGATATCTTCATCGTCTCGGCCTTTCTCTATGTCGGTATCTCCCCCCTCATCACTATCCTCACTTCCACTTCCATCATCCTCTGTATCGCGATTGTCATCTTCATCGCTATCTTCATCATTGCCATTATCGTCGTCACCACTATCGCTATCCGATGTAGAAGCATGGAGTGTTTCGTCACGCAGCACAGTGTACGAGGTCGTGTCAGCCTCGCGACTGTCTAAAGACAAGACCTGCAAAGCAACACTCAAGTCGTCTGAAGGACTCACTGGCCTTTGAAGTCGTGATGTCGCAACAAGATCATTGTTGTCAAATGCCTTCTTGAAGTCGGCTGAGGGTGAGGCTGAAGTGAGGGGCGCCCTCGTATGGGATACGGGTTTGCTACGACGAGACGGCAGCAGTGCAAGCTTTTTCAGCCTGGAACGATCTGATGCGGTGAGGGTGATGTGTTCAGGGGGGAAGTCACCGAGAGTCGCAGCTGTAATGCCATCGCACTTGGCCTGCTTCGGTTCAGAGCCCGCCAGTGATAGTTGCTGACTGTGAGCGCGTAGTTTCCTTGCCGCTTGAGTGGCTGCCTCTGCTATGCAATGAAGACGAGTAGCGTCTTCGTGAGACTTCTCCGAGGCATGGTCATCGTATTTTGGTACTTCGCTTTGCCACTTGGTTAGTCGTTTTGCAAAGTCAGATCTCGTTGGCATGTCATGTACATCATTCCGTGGTAACTGAAGCATACGCTCCAATCTGTATCAAAGATCAGTATCTGTTTCGCGGTGAGGATCCCGTCCGCACCTCGGCTTCACATCATCATTTCCCGGAATCCTTGTGCACGCGTTAATGAGGCCGTCCCAAGCTGCCCTGACTTCTGCTTCAGGAAGACGTTCCCTCTCCGCATCGACCTTGTGCTTTCGCGCCTCGCGAGAGGACGACAATATGGCACTGCGACACGAGATAACATGCTTCAGGACTTCAGGTGGCAATGCTCTCTCTGTCGTGAATCGCAGTTGGTCAGACGACATACTCTTGTATAGCCGGTCCAACTCGTCTTGTGTTTCAGCGTTTAGTCCTTGCTAGGGTCACAGCTTCCAGTCAATCATTGGCCGAAGAATCATAGACAGAAAAACACACCGCATTGTCAAAAAAGCCATCAGCTTGGTACAGAGACGTATACTCTTCGTACAGATCGGTGACAGTGTTACTCCCAAAGCGATCAAATGGGAATACAGCAGGAAGGACAAGTCGTTGTCCCATCCAAGCATCCATGCAACCAGCATTGCTAGTGTTACGATAATGAGCTGCAGCAAATCTAGAATCTAATTGGTGTCGCAGAGTCATTGTCAGATCAAGGGGCTACATACTCGCTCGCTGAAAATCTTTTCGACTTCTCACTGCCCTGATGAGTATCGGCGCCCTTCGTCTTACCATCCGGATCGGTTTGCGTGATGCTACTACAAACGACATAGACGCAGCGATGAGGGATGATATAGCGGATGGTAAGAGAAGCTTACGGCGGGGTGAGGTGGGTGCTGGTGGATTATTTGGTTGAATAAATCGTATCAACGATGTATAATGGGGCTCAACGAACCTCCCGCTAGACACAGTTGTCTTGCGTGTCTTGCGCTCTGGGATGTTACTCTCATATTCGGGCCTGAAATGAGATCAGGGACGGAACCTCATCGTATTCCAAACATTGATCACCTCGCAGTTCTTGATTTCGGGGTATGGACCCTTGATTCCTGGCGCTGAGGCCAGCCCTTTCGGCTTTCTGCATCTACTATACTGAAGTGGTGTTCAGCATGATGTTGGATGCATATCACGGAAGACACACCGCTCCTGCTGACCGTGATTGTCAGCCGGCCTGAAAAAAAAAAGTTCAAATCGCCGGTCGGAATTGCTTGAAGAGGGCACCAACTTTTCTCGCCGATTGGGATCCCTCGATGTCTGTGGTCTAAATTCGAATAAGCTACATGAAGCATCGGGAAAGATCGTGGAACCTCACCTCTGCTGTTTGCGGGACATGCTGGTACGTACACAAGAAACACAGTAGGAGAAAGAAACGTGCCCTTTATCAATCGAATCAATATCGATGGACACTGGAGTTTGATCTTCATTACGAGAGATTCCCTCGTCATATGCAATTACCCTTCGAACCTGCCCGTTATCACAGTCTTCACACTCTCGTTCCTCCCAATCTAGACTTTCTCCAATGGCGGTGGGATCCACAGAAGGATGGACTCGTGCGATTGAAACATCGCGGTAATCACTATAGACAGTGATAAGATGAGTGAAAAAATGCAACAGAGGACTTACGTTGGGATGCTAGCCAACCATCCGTTGATCTCGTCATTGCGATCCCTCCAAGGTTTCGCCATATTAGGAGACCGATCAGATCTCCAGCAAAGAACATCAAGCTCTTTCACATATTTACACCACGCATTGTACGACACGTCGAACGATGCCATGACGCTGCGAA